ATAAGTTTTTTTTGTATTGTAAATGGTGATATAATAGGTCGAGATTCAAATAAATCTGGATGATTACAAACTTTTCTTAATTGCATTAATATATTAATCACAGACATATAATGTCCTTGTTGTATAGTATCACGTGTTGTTTTACATTGAATAAAATCATCATATAATTGTCTTTGTCTTTTAGATAAATGACACATAATAACATGTTCATGTTTTTTTTGGCATTTGTTTTTCAACATCAACTTTTAAACGTCGTAAAATAAATGGACGTAAAACTTTATGTAAACGTTTAATTAATGAATCATTTGCATTTGTTTGTCCTTGTTCAATCATTTCAGTTAACGGATTGGAAAACCATTCACGAAATTCATGATGTGATGCAAATAAATTTGGCATTAAAAAATGCATTAATGACCATAATTCCATCAAAGAATTTTGTAATGGTGTACCTGTTAATAATAAACGTCGTTGGGAATGAAAATTTAATAATGTTTGCCAACGTTGTGATTTAAAATTTTTTATATTTTGTGCTTCATCTAAGATTAAATATTTCCATTTTTTACGACGAAATGCTTTTGCATCTTGTAGAACAAGTTTATATGATGTTATGCATACATGAAATGCATTAACTTTTGTCCAACCTTGACGTTTTAATTGACGTTCTTTAACAGAACCATAATATGTTAGAATTTTAAATGCTGGACACCATTTTTTAAATTCTAATTCCCAATTCAACATAACACTTGTTGGAACAACAATTAAATGTGGACCCCAAACACCTTAACAGATATATGTTATTTTGTTTGAAATAGAATTATGGAGTCAATACCTTTTTCACATGCTAAATGAGCAAGTAATGCAATTGTTTGAATAGTTTTACCTAAAAAATGAAAAGATTGGTGAAATATAATCTCAAAGGAATATTAAAGTGTATAGAAGTAGAAATTTTCATTCATTAATTCCCTTCCTACATGAATCGTGATAGACAGTCTAGTATTCCTCAGCGATTTTGTTCTATTTTTCATGGAGAAATCTATCCTAGTTATTGCGATTTCATAATTTCTACTGCTCGACACAACGCAAGATCGTAATTATTATATAGATAAAATATGGATCAGTTGAAACATTTTATTCTCCTTAGATATGATTTCACTATATACCTAAACCCATTTCGTCAGCTAAAATACAATTAAGTTTATTTTCATATAATGTAACAAGCCAATCTAAACCAACATGTTGATATTCTCTAAGTGAATGTTTAATTAAAAATGGCACCGGTGTTTTAACTTCAGTTGTATTTAATGTAAATCCAGTTGGTTGAAGTGCTTGAGCAGTCGTAGCTAAATCATTCATTTCTTTATCTTCTACTAGTTCTTGTTTTGTTTCATTTTCATCTTCTATTGTTGTTGTTGTTGCTGGTGATTGACTTTTATCATCTTCTTTAATATCAATTGGAATATTATTTTCTTTTTCACTTGAAGAATTTGATATATCAATTCCATAATAACGTTTTAATAAATCATTAATAGATTCTTCTCGATCAGCTTCTAATTCTTTTAATTCATTAGCAGCATATTCATCTTGTTCATCTTCTTCTTCACGTTCAATTGTTTCTTCATTATCATCATCATTCATATCTTCAGTTAGATTAAAATCTTTATCATCATCATCTGCATTTGATTCACTTTTCAATGATTTAACTAACCAATCGGAATATTTTTCTGTTTGATCAACAATAAAATTTAAATGTAAATCTAATTGATGTTTACGTAATTCTTGTATACGTGTTGTTTCTTTAAATTCAGCTACTTTATGCATATTTTTCCAAAAATTCATTACTTCTTTACATACAAATAGTGCTTGTTTACGTAAACGTTTAAGTTCATCACGTTGTTGTTGATTTTCCGCTTGATTTTTTTCACGAAAATATTTTAATATAGCTAATGAAAGTTTCTTCGCCATCATTTGTTTCCAACGTTTTTCATGTGCAAAATCTTCTGCCAACCAACGCATTTCATCAAGTAAATAATCCCAATGTGTTTTACGTTTTTTTTGGTTCAAGAAATTTAACTAAACGTTGATTTGACCATTTACCATTTGATTTTAATTCATCAATACGTTTTAATATATCATTTTCATGTTTAACACGTTCAACTGGTGGTAATTTACTTGGAATATTTTTTAATGTTAATGATATATTTATATCTTGAAGATTTTTTTCAACTTTTTCAATAAGATCTTCTTCAGCTTTAATAAAACGTTGTTCATCTATGGATAAATCTGTTCGATCACGCATTTGTAAATCAATATATTCTCGAACAAGACTACGATGTGATTGAACAATATTATTTAAACATGAAAACATTGTTTGAAGATTTGTTGATGGAGATGATGAACGAACGCGTTTTGACGGCGATTGTTCAATTGAAGGTTCATTATTTGATGATACTATCGATGAACGACGTCGTTTATATGTATTAGATGTTATATCATCATCGATCATTGCGGTATTTGTCACCGCAGAAGTCATCTACAAAAACAAAAAAATTATATCTAATTTTAGAATATTATTCAAAAAAACAGATGTACTATAAACACGCTTCTCCGCTTTTACCATTAAAGAAATGACATCAAAAACCTCTATACAATGTTTGCAATAGGATTGGCTTATATTTTCGAAGGAGGACAACAGATTGACAACTACTGACATCTGTATCAATATTATACTCGCTATAATAGTTTAAAATTGGTAAAAATAATTGTCTATTATGTGTGAAAATATATTAAATGACATTAGACATGTCGTCTGGCGTTTGTACTAGTAATATAATTAAAAAAAACGATCTTCGCGATGACTAAAATTTCATTTTATTACAACTGTCATTATGATGCACACGCATAGAAATATCGAAAAGTATTGAACAAGATGAATGTATTGTTAAAAATATCTGATTTTTTTTTTCACATTTTACCAAGAAAATAAGATATTACTCGTCTATTCTTATTATATGTAAATAATTGGCTCACCACGTTTTATATTATCTACATGTCATGCACATACTTTATTGTTCTAGAACATTTACGGGTAGAAGAAGAAGAAGAGAATAGTTTATCATGACAGATATTCATAAAAGCGTACAAAATTATTATGGTCAAGAATTACAACAATCAAGTGATCTAAAAACAGATGCTTGCTGTTCGAAAGCTGAAATTCCTTTATTTATAAAAGATATTCTTAAAAAGATTCATCCAGATGTCATAGCAAAGTAATTATGCAAATTAGAAATAAACTCTTCTAAAATCTAGATGATTACTTATTCATAGATATTATGGATGTGGTTTGATATTCCCGCCAAAACTTGAAGGTTGTCGAGTTTTAGATCTTGGTTGTGGAGCAGGTCGTGATGTTTATATTTTATCGAATCTTGTTGGACATCAAGGATATGTTGTTGGTGTAGATATGACTAAAGAACAAGTAAATCAATTTCGATATAGATGATAAATTGTGCATAATATAAATTTTAGCTTGATATTGCTAATCGCTTTATTGATTATCATACAAAAGAATTTGATTTTCAAACGCCAAATGTTGAATTTCATCTGGGTAAAATCGAACAACTTACTGATAATCCTAATTTGAAAGTCAACTCATTTGATGTTGTTGTGTAGGTATTTGTAACTTTTTTCAATTTAATCGAATTATTGTTATTTAGATCGAACTGTGTTGTAAATTTAAGTCCAGATAAAAAAAAAGTTTTACAACAAGTATATGAAATGTTAAAAGTAAGTTGATCTGACGCTATGTTAATCAATCTTATCTATTGAATATTTGTAGCCTGGCGGTGAATTCTATTTCAGTGATGTATATGCTGATCGATCAGTGCCAGAAGAATTACGACAAAACCAAATTCTCTGGGGTAAAACTAGTAGAAATTTAAAATAAATCTGAATATTATCGATAGGTGAATGTTTAAGTGGTGCTATACGTGAAAGTGATTTAATTTCTGATGCACTTGATATTGGTTTTACAAGACCAATATTAGTAACACAACAACCAATTTGTATTAATAATCAACAATTGCAAGATTTACTCGGTAAAACTTTCTTATTTTCTTCTTTTTCAACTTATGAATTGTCTATGTAGGTGATATTAAATTTACATCATGTACTTATCGCCTATTCAAAAATAAATCAATTGAAGATCCCATCATCTCCGATAATAAGAATGGTACTTTAGTAACTTATCAAACACCTATTATTCATTATGAAAATGAATTTCAATTTGATCAATCGATAATATTCAAAGTATAATTCTATTATTTATATTTTTCTATAATGAAAATAGTTATTTAGTTTCAGGATCAACCTCAATATGTTAATGATGAATTAACTAAAATGTTACGTATATCAAGATACAATGATAATTTCAAATTTGAATCAGTTACTCATGAAAACGTATGTGCGAACAAAAAAACTATTTAAACAAATGTTTTCTTTTTCTAGGAAATACCAAAGTCAACAAAACAAGTATCAAATTGTTGTTGTCGTCAAGGAACTTGCTAAAGATTTTTTCTTCTAACATGATGATTGTCATTTTTAAAAAAACTAAATATTAAATAAAACAAACAATATAAGTTACTATTTTTCATTATTTCTATTTAGCAGTTTGACTTTGATTTATTTCATAATCATTTAAATATTCTGCTTTGCGTTTTAAAAATGCTTGACACAGTGAGTTTGTGATGTGATGCCATTCTTTATTTGACATATACAGTAGTCGAATCACTTAAAAAATACACTTAATCGTAGTGTATAAGATATACATTAGGTCGAAAGAACATATCGAAAAAGTGTTCACTGTTCATAATAAGGAGATGTTCACTGTATTACATACATCATAGAAATTTATTTATGCACTTATTCTAGAGATAGAAGAAAAAGAAAATTATTCGTTTTGACCTGATTTTAATCTATAAGTTATTTAGTATATCGATATGACAAAGAAAATAACATTCATAAGAATAAACTATTTGTTTTCTTTATTTTGTAACAATATGTCATTTATTTGGATTATTTACCTTTTCTTTGTATATTTCGTTCTTTCTTTATGATAGAACGAGTCGATTGTGTGATGAACACATATGCCTGGATCAAGGCATAAAATAATATCGTATAATGATTCGTTTACTATTCGCATACAAGAAAAGTTCTCTCTATCTCTCTATCCATTCTATACCATAGCATTATTATTATGATTAAGTATAAATAGACCATCATCGTATGTATAGATTCACTGTCGATCGAACACATGCCTCGTGATACTAATCGTAAGTAATCAGTACAAATCTATTTTGTTTGTACTTGAAAAAAAAAGAAATGAAAAGAAAAGTCGACTAGATATTATTTTTTCCTTATAGATTCGTCAATTTATGATGATCTTAATCGCGATGGTTCTCGTCGTCGGTATGCATCAATATTACCACCAGCAAATACAAATATAATAGTTGACGGACATGTATTTCATCTTGGTTCACGTTATTCTTTACCGAAAATGATTGGTTCAGGTGCTTACGGTCAAGTTATATCAGCATATGATGCATTACTCCAACGTAAAGTAGCAATTAAAAAAATAAAATTACCTCAAATAAATGCAGTCGAAGCAAAATTATTTTATTCTCGTTCATTACGTGAAATATGTATTTTAACACCACTTAAACATGATAATATACTTCAAGTACTTGATTGTTATACACCAGCTACATCAGCTGAACAAATGCGTGAAATATATCTTGTAACTAATTTAATGCGTTTAGATCTACATCAACTTATTAAAATGAATAATAAACGCCCAGCAGATAAACGTATTATTACACATAGTCATATTCCACATTTTCTTTATCAATTATTACGAGCATTAAAATTTATTCATTCAGCTAAAGTTTGTAAGTATATATTTATTATCAATTTATTTATAATTATTTATTCTTAATTAATTATAGTACATCGAGATTTAAAACCAAACAATATTTTTGTCGATCTTGATGGTCATCTACGTATTGGAGATTTTGGTCTTGCTCGTGTACCAGAAGAAGAAGCTAATACACCAATGACTGGTTATGGTAATTATTATTATTATTTTTTAAATAAATAAAATTTTTAATCAAAAATATTATTTTAGTATGTACACGATGGTATCGTGCACCTGAATTAATGCTTTGTGATGGAACATATACATCAGCAATTGATATGTGGTCTGTTGGTTGTATTCTCGGTGAACTTATATTTGGTCAACCATTATTTCCTGGTCGACATTATTTGGATCAATTACGTCTTGTTGTTGAACATCGTTGTGGTTCATTAGGTTTTCTTGCTCATGAACATAAACTAGCTTATCCAACAATAACAGATAGATCTTTAAATGTTCTTCGTCGTGTTTTATCACAATGTTCAACTTATCATCCAAGACCATTTTTATCATCAGAAACGATTGTACCTCATCTTGATGAAACAGCATTTATTTTACTTGATAGATTATTATTAATGGATCCACATAAACGTTTAACAGCTGAAGATGCATTAAGTAGTTCTTTATTTAATAATTATCGAAAAGATGCTGGAGGTGAACCATCATCTGAAGAAGCATTTCAACTTGATCTTAGTCCATATCAATTATCCGACATTCGTGCAATGCTCTTTCAAAAAGTACAACTTGTTCATCAACAATTACATGATAAAGCACTTATACTTAATGAACAAGCAACAATGGCGGCAAATATAAATGGAGAGAAGATGGATTGCTATTAGTAATCATAAAGAAAGAAAAAA